CTCCTCACCTCTTAGAATCAAACCAGGTACAGGGCAGCTCCTGGCATTAACTGAAGAAACTTATTTTGCTTTTGCAAATGAGGTATTTAGGTTTTGTACCTCAGGATAGATCTCTCAACTTCAGATGCATTTGTTGCTGGTCCTGTTATCTGAAGCTGTGGCATCCTCTTTCTACTTTTTCCCATGTGCACCCTACTTAATCTCCATTGATTCTGGCAACAATCCCACCTGTTTTGTGGCCTGGAGTTTTAGTTGTCTTCCACTTAGTCTCTAAGTTGTTTTCCAACTTTCTGTTGTTTTTAGCTAATTGCCAGAAAGCAAAAGAAGAAAATGCCAACTTATAATGCTGTTGATGGGTACCATCAAGTCCACTCTGACTCATCGTGACCCCACGTACAACAGAACCAACAGTGCCTGGTCGTGTGCCATAATATATCAGACAGTGTTTCACTACTATTCATAAGGTTTTCACTAGCCAATTTTTTGGGAAGTGGATGGCCCCTTCTTTCTTCCCAGTCTGTCTTCTTCTGGTAGCTCCACTGAAACCTGTCTATCATGGGTGACTGTGCTGGTATTTGAAATATGCGTGGCATAGCCTCCAGCCTCCCACAAGACACCATAGTACAACACACTGACAAGACAGACCAGTGTCATCGTTATAACACCATCTTCAAACCCAAAGTTCAACAGTTATCTTACAAGAATATAAGCACATTATACAAAACAGAAATTTTTCTCACTGTATTACTAAAATATAAAGTTGAGCTCTCCTCACTATTTTACTATGAAGTAAAATACTAATTTTCCAGAAAACACTAATTTTCACAAGGCCATTAATTCTTGGCTAAATGTTTTAGTTTTAAAGTTCATGTGTTTATTAGTTTTCGCCTAATGCAGAAAGTAAATCTGATACCTAAACATAAAAGCTATTTTTCTAGATATTCAAAACACAAGGCCTATTTGAGGAACAAATTATGTATATTCTTAACAAGATGCCACAATCTTAGTATATGTTTTCAAAGCAGATAAAGGCTTTAGTAGTAAGGACAAAACAAGATATAAGCTTCAAATTAAGACCTATCATTCCTTAAGTTCCCAGGTTCCATATGGGTTTGAAATGAAAAGTTAGCTTCAGATTATATATATGATCATTCTTGTAGAAAATTCTAATTCCAGGCAAGCTTCCTTTCCTGCCAGTTACTACTCTTCTACTCTTTGCTAGCCATTTACCACCAAGTTCTGAACAAAATAAAGTTTTACTATTAGCCAGTTTTTTAAGAGTAAATAATATACCCAAAATCAAGTTAAAATGGATTTTGAATTAGTCCTATTTTAAATGACTCTCACACAGATAAGGGTAAATCTGTTAATGTTAATATGTCATGTTGTTGCTGTTATGTGCCATTGAGTCAAAACCCAATTCATAGCGACCCCTCCTTAGGTTTCCGACGCAATATCACTACAAAGTAGATTGCCCAACCTTCCTTCCGAGGAGTGGCTGGTGGGTTTGAAACTCCAGCCTTCTGGTTAGTAGTCAAGTGCTTCAGGCACTACACCACCAGAGGTCCCTTATATGTCATACAAAAGCTAAATAATACCCGGTATAATTTAAACTGACTACCACAGTAATACAGGTAGTCCACAACTTAAAACGTATTCAAGTTACTTATGACGAATGCTGCACTTACAACAGTCCATTGTTGTTTTTTACATCATCAATAATATGTACTACATACATGTTGTAGCACATAATTTGATGATGTTATCATTCCCAGATGTAATTGTTTCCAAACCCCAAAGACAAATAAAGATGGAGTGTATAAAGATGATAATAAAATGCAATGATAATGAAAACTAGGAGGAAAAAAAACAGGGGGGAGTCAAATACTCGACTATCAATGGAGCTGTCATTCAAATAGAACACCTTCATAAGTCAGGGTACTTGTATAACTATGCAATAGAAGACTCTCATAGTAATACTTGTTTCAGGCATGAATTATCAATGGATATTAAAACGTGGGCAAAAAGTGTAAGAAAAAGGATAACTATATACTCCCAAATTATCTTCCCACAAGATACTGACTAATTACAAAGGGAAAAATAATAACTTTATAGTGGAGAACCTGGAAGAAATTATCTTAAGTAACCAAATAGATACCCTTTTTTCTCATAATGCACTTTTGTGGAATCCCTGCCAAAAATGCTTAAGCTGAATCTAACCATGAGGACACACAGGACAAATGTAAACTGGGGACATTCTATAAAATAATTGCCTTCAAATGATAATAATAATAATAATAATCTTCAAAATGATCAATACCATGATTATCAATGCCACAAAAGACAAAGACTGAAGAACTGATCTAAATTAAAAGAGTTGTTGTTGTTAGGTGCTGCTGAGTCCGTTTCAAGTCACAGTGACCCTACGCACAACAGAACAAAACACTGCCCAGTTCTGCACCATTCCCACAATCATCACTACGCTAGAGTCCACTGTCGCACCATTCTGTCAATCCTCGTATTAAAAGAGGCCAAAGAGAAATGACAACTAAATTTAATGTGATCCTAGACTGGCTTCTGGGACACACACAATTTTTTTTGTCCTTTGCTATATATACATAATATTAAGGAGCTCTGGTGGCATAGTGCCTAAGGCATTTAGTTGCTAACCAGAAGGCTGGTGGTTCAAACACACCAGCAGCTCTGCAGAAGGAAGATGGGGCAATCTACTGCCTTAGGGATTTACCTCCTTGGAAACCCACTGGGGGTTGCTATGAGTCAAAATTGACTTGATGGCAGTGGGTTGGTTTTTTTGGGTTATTTGACTGCTAATCAGAAGGCTGGTGGTTCAAATCCACCAGGCACTCCTCGGAAGGCAGGTTGGGCAATCTACTTCTACAGTGATATCACCTTGGAAACCCAAGCAAGGCTCACTGTTACTCCAATACGACTTGACAGCAGTGTGTTGTGTTTTGTTTTTATAGAACATTAGGAGCTCTGGAATTCATAAAATCTGAATGTATGTAATAGCAGTATATCAACATTAACTTAGCAAGTACACGTTCAAGTACTTAGAGATTAAAGGGTACATTGTCTATTTGCCCAGGGATAAAACTCAGAGGGCAGGAATGGATTGAAAACAAGGATGAATGGAAAGGATAAACATAGGGAGGAAGTGGAAGAGTTTCATTACATTGTAGGGACTGTATTCAATGCCACAAAACTTGTACGAACCAAAAAAAAACCAAACCCCCTGCCACTGAGTCGTTTCCAACTCATAGCGACCCCCAATGGGTTTCCGAGGCTGTAAATCTTTACAGAAGCAGATCGCCCCATCTTTCTTCCATGAAGCAGCTGGTGGTCTGAACCACTGACCTTCCAGTTAGCAGTCAAGTGCCTTATCCACTACACCAATGAACAGTTGAAATGGAAAACCAGTTTGTTCTGTGAACTTTCACTCAAATCACAATAAAAAGTTAAAAAAATTTTTTCTTTTTTTTTTTTTTAAAAAGGACACCATGTCTGCAATTTAGGTTCAAACAATTCAGAATAAAAAAGAATACTGTTAAGTGTGTGGGGTGGGTGGGTAGGTGGGTAGGTACAGCTGTGTGTATAGAAAGGAACAGAAGAATGATACGCAAATGTCATAAATATTAACATACAGGGAATTTGAGTGGGATAAACACAAATTCTTTGTATAGTTTTTTACAACTTTTCTCTTAATCTCAAATTATTTTGCAATAAAAAGTTAGAAGGGGAACAGAAGCACAATAAATGAAAACAACTATAGCCAAATAAAATGAACTATTTTCTCTAACTAAAACCATCTTTCCGAATTCTACTCATCAGATCATGAAATTTTAGAGCAAGGAGAAAAATATGTATCTCTCACCCAAACCACTCAATTTATAGATAAAGATAATAAAGTCAAATGATTTGCTCAAGACCACACAGCTAGTTTAAGGAAGACTACTTTCCATCTCTGACTCAGTTCAGCATTCTTTAAATTATTTTCCAAGCTGTCTATCTTTTGATAGCTTTTTATTATTGTCTATTCTATCACCATGTAGTAACAAAATATTTACCTTATCTTTTCATATATTCTAAAAAGCTATCATGGCAAACCACAAGGGCTTCTTTCAGGCAATCTAAATTTCCTTTTAAAAAAACATTCAGGTATCACTGCTCCTAATAATCTCTAATAACCAATATCAATAAATATGCTGCTTTTATAATATATGTCAAACACTATAACAAATGCTAAAAATAAAAAATTAAGGCACTCTACAGTGTGACACTGTTAGGTCCATGATGATAGAAAGCAAGTCTGTATTACTCATCATTATAACCCCACCCATTAAGGCAACATACAATAAACACTCATATAATTGTCATGTGTTGCTAACTAGAAGACAATCCATATTATGCTGTTGTCAGGCACCGTCAAGTCAGCTCTGACTCATAGTGACCCTACGTACAACAGAACAAAACATTGCCTAGTCATGTACCATCCTCAAAATCTCTGATATGCTTGAGCCCATTCTTACAGGCACTGTGTCAATCCACCTTGTTGAGGGTCCTCCCCTTTACCATTGAACTTCCACTCTATCGAGCGTGATATCCTTCTTCAAGAACTGGTCCTTTCTGACAACATAACCAAAGTAGGTGAGATGAAGTCTGGCTTTTCTCGCTTCCAAGGAGCATTCCAGCTGCACTTCTTCCATAGTACAAGAAAAAATTGTGTGCATATATAATATCAGTGGTATTAATAAAGTGCCATGAGACAACATGTAAGGGAGTTAATTTTTTGCTTGGTGGAATGTAGAAAGGCTTCAGATATTCAATGACACCAAAGTTAAGTCTTGAAAGAGAAATTAAGATTTCAATAGCATGGAAGCAGTATGGTGTTCCAAAGAGGTGAGGGAGAGTTAGATAAAATATTTTCATTAAGGTTTGGAAATATTCAGCATTTTGATTGAAATTTTTTAACACAGGCTTACCTATTGTTGCTGCTAGTTCTGGATCGAAAGTATCATCTGTGAACCTCAAGAGCAAGCTAAAAGAGATGTTGAAAAGACAGGTTAAGAATTTGATTTTTCTAATTATTTGATAAATGTGCTCATGACAGCTCATGACTATGAGAAACTATTAGATACAGATAAAAATAGTTAATGTAGGTATAATCCTAGGAATACTACCTCAGTACAAGTATATACAGAGAAATTAAATTATTAGGAAGGTAATTAAAGAATCCCAAGAGTAAAGTCATTTACTAGAACTCCTTGGTTCCATTACACAATTCCCCAAGCATGAAAAGTTTTCGTTTTTAATTTTTTTTTTTTTACTGTACTGAATGTTCTTCTGAGACTACATTAGCAACATATCAAGCTTTAACTGATACGGATGAAGGAGGGAGAAACAAGAATCTCTTGGAATGCAAAAAATAAAAATCCACTCTAAACACAGTGTGAAAAAAGTGGGAAAGTCTACTTTTTAAAACAAGTAGTATGACTATTACCTAGGTTGAAAGAAAGAATAGAGTAAAAAGAAGGTAGGAAGATAGCATAATGGCCAAAGTAGACATCCTCTAGCATTGCTAGGTAAGATGTATGGAATCAAGTTGGCAATACTGAGCTACTGAAAGTGTTAAAAGAAAGACATGAACTTCTTTATGTTCTAAAAAGTTAATGCCAGCAGCAAGTGCATGAAAATCAACATGAAGTCAACTGCCATGGTTATGGTAAGAGATTACAAAAGAGGAAACCTAGGACACAGTAAAGAAACCACAAAGGAAGGGAAACGCAAATGACACCCAGATTAGGACACACTAAGTTTTAGAATTAGAGGTATGGTTCGCTTTATGTCCACAATATATTCTTTGAAATAGGACATTATGTGACTTGGATGTGGTGCGAACATCTGTATCCAGGGGGCACGGACTCCCTAGCAGGCAGCCCAAGCAGCTCGCACTACAGATGCTTCAGGCAAACAATCAGCTGGGACTTACCCAGCTGTTGCTGTCTTTAAGCCGGCTACAAGGAAGGCCAGCTCGCCAGGGAGAACCTGTGAGAACCTGCTAAGGGAGGGGATAGTGTGGGCCAATGGGGCTGAGGGTGCCCAAGCCAGACACCTGTGGCACATATCTTTCCATAAGCACCATATGGGACCATACAGGATTAGACTGCCTAATCATGGGAGCTAAGGAAGACCAGGGTTGGGAGTTTTGAGTCTGGGCCTCTATCGCTGCAGACTAGATAGCTTTTGGGCTATGTATAGCTACTATGTAGCTGAGCAGAAGTGGGGCTCCGACCTCAAGACAAAAGTCTGGAGTCCTGGGTACCCTGGCCCATGGATGTATATGCAGTCACTGCATGAATAAATGTTAAGCAACACATATTTGTATTTTATTTAATATGAGGCAGAAGTGTCAATTATTGGAAGCTCTTTAAAAACAAGATTTTTGATAAAGCCCTAGATGTATAAACTTAATCTTCTTTCACATTAACTATTAAAATAAAGGGGTTCTAGTGACCTCTTTGTAATTAATAACATCAATAAAACAGTGATTAGATGTCTGAATTACAGAAATTTTTTTTATAAATATGAAGTTGTGATTATTGCTACTACCAACTTTTTTTTGGTCCACAGACTATACTGCAAAACACCAAGGCCTCCAGGTAATTTCCAAACCCACTATCATTACTTGTAAGCGTTAACTTTCCCTTTCCTAGTTTTTCTTTCTCATACTTACTTAAAACCAACACCACAGCAGCAAAATAAAACAGAACAGAGTCAAATTCCAGATTTTTCTACTTAGTGAAAATGGCTATAACCATTTTTCAAGGAACTCTGGTGGTACAGTGGTTAAGGCATTTGGCTGCTAACCAGAAGGTCAGAGGTTCAAACATACCTGCTGCTCTGCAGGAGGAAGATGAGGCAATCTACTTCCGTAAAGATTCACAACCTTGGAAACCCTATGGGTCATTATGAGTTGGAAACAACTCAAAGCCAGTGATTTACAACCATTGTTGCTTACTTCCAACATGAGTTAGGTGACAGCACTATTAAGAATCTTAAAAGACTACTTATAAACTTTTCTTTTGTCCCAATATTAAACTTTAAATTAATGAAAGTGAATTATTTCACTAAAAATGTCAATTGCCTCAAATTTAAAAATAGAAGAGATATGTATCTATACTTGGTCATTACAGAAATTACTATATGATACCCACCAGCCACTCCTCGGAAGGAAGGTTGGGCAATCCTACTTCCGTAGTGATACTGCCTCGGAAACCCAAGGAGGGGTCGCTATGAGTCAGGTTTGACTCGACGGCAACATAACAACAACAACAATAGGTTAATTAAACATTTTAGGAGCTGTGGTAGCATAGTGCCTAAGGCACCTGACTGCTCACCAAAAGGCTGGCGGTTCAAACCCACCAGCCACTCCTCAGAAGGAAGGTTGGGCAATCCTACTTCCGTAGTGATACTGCCTCGGAAACCCAAGGAGGGGTCGCTATGAGTCGGGGCAGACTCGACGGCAAACACCACCACCACCAACAACAATATAACATTTTAGAGTATTTTTAATAATAAAAATGCCGTAATAATACTGCATATAATAATGTTATTGCTATTATTTATTCAACATCCACAACACACTAGACAGAGAGCAGGTGTTTTTCTTATATAACTTCTAATCTTTACAACAAACCTTATCGTTAATGGTACTTTGTCTCCAAGGGCAGGAAACTGGTATGGTACAAGCAACACATTTTAATATGGGCTCTGAATATAAGTCAGCAGATGTTAACTAGGGGTACACTGGTAGTCCAGAAATATACTTTAAATTACATGCATGCATTTTCCTAGGCAGAGACTCTATTTCCCTTATTAGGTTTTTACAGGTATCCACAACCCAAAAGTGATTAAGAGCCACTGCTCTAAAGGATGCATATCTAACCCCTCCTATTTTCAAAGTTAAAGGAACAAAATACTTTCCACGTAGAGCTGCAAATGGAAGGAATAACTACCACTATTCCACTTAGAAGAGCATTGTTGCACCGTGGTTAAAAGCACTCGGCTGCTAGCCAACAGGTCAGTGGCTTGAACCCTCCAGCCACCCTGTAGCACAAAGATTTGGAAGTCTGTTTACATAAAGATTTACAGCTTAAGAAATCCAATGGGGCATTTCTACCCTGTCCAACAGGGTCACCATGAGCCAGAATCGACTCAACGGCAGTGACTTTGGTTGATTCCATTTAGAGAATGCTAAATTTATAATAAACACGGTAAAAATATAACCAATCTTCACTTTTTAATGTACAAATGAAACTGACCCAAAAAGATAGGAGGCAAGGTGTGTGGGAGGGGCAGCAATTCAGATTAACAGAAAATCTCTTCCACTTCCTGATACACAATGCTACATCTTTACTTCACTAAGCCTAGCCACAGAATCAAAGAAGCTTATACTTTTAACAATACATGAGTTTTGAGAAGTTTCTCTTCCAACACTCTTCACTTTTTTAAAGAAAGAAATTTAAGGCCCAGAATGTGTAAGTACCACACACAAAGTGACAGAAGTGCTGACACCAGTATCATAATTCTGATTTCATTCTAACTGTCTGAAAAAAACTGGAAAAATTATCTACTACTTCAGATTAGTTAAGAGCTCTGGTGGCATAATGTCTAAGGCATCTGTTAACCAGAAGGCTGGAGGTTCAAACCCACCAGCCACTCCTCGGAAAGGAAATTGGGCAATCTACTTCTATAGAGATCCTGCCTTAGAAACCCAAGAAGGGGTGGCTATGAATCTAATCAACTTGACAGCAGTGCGTTTGGTTTCAGGTTAGTTAAAATGTTCTTTGTTGTATAATAATTTCTCAACAACACAAATGATATCTCTAACTTTCACTAGCTCAGGAAGTCCAGAGAACTCTTAAAATCAATATCCATTACAAATATTTTTGTACTAACTCACCTTAAAGAGCATAGATTTTGATTTTAGTAAAACGTCATTTATTCTAATTTTATCCAGGAAAAAAGAAAGTGTTCAGTTATTTTCCGTATCACACCACATAGACCAATAATGTGTATCTAGCTGGAAAAAAAGAGTCAAATTTCTCCCAAAATACTATCCTTTCTTGAAGAGACAGTTAAAAGTGTTCAAATTTGGAACTTAGCAGTTGATAATTAATGACTAGATACTGAGAAAAAGTTTAGATCAGATTAGGTCCAAATGAGTTTGTTTTGATGGCTCAATGCAGGGAGACTAATAAATCTAATTAACAGAACTTACTCTAAAGGGGAAACCTCAATTATGTTAACACTGTATAGTGCCTAAGGCACTTGACTGCTAACCAAAAGGCTGGCAGTTCAAAGCCACCAGCCACTCCTCGGAAGGAAGAGACGGGCCAATCTACTTCCGTAGTGATGTTGTTGTTGTTATGTGCCATCGAGTCAGCCCTGACTCATAGTGACCCCTCTTTGGGTTTCTAAGGTAGTATCACTGCAGAAGTAGATTGCCCAACCTTCCTTCCAAGGAGTGGCTGGTGGGTTTGAACCTCCAGCCTTCTGGTTAGCAGTCAAGTGCCTTAGGCACTATGCTATCAGAGCTCCGTAGTGATACTGCGATACTGCCTCGGAAACCCAAGGAGGGGTTGCTATGAGTCGGTCAGACTTGACAGCACATAACAGCAACAACAACGTACTTCCAGTTAACCTTCCAGAAAACTTTAATACAGCTTAACTATATCACTCATTCAATACACTTAGAAAAACGCCAGCCAACATGTACTGGGTTGAACCATATGAAATGACATTCGATCATTCTTGACTTCAAAAATGGCATGCTCATATACCTTAACCTAAATGAGTGCCACATCTCAGAAAAGAAAAAAGAAAGGCTATGGAACTCCTGGGAGCTCTGGTATCATAGTGGCTAAGGCACTTGACTGCTAACCAGAAGGCTGGCGGTTCAAACCCACCAGCCACTCCTCGGAAGGAAGGTTGGGCAATCCTACTTCCATAGTGATACTGCCTCGGAAACCTAAGGAGGGGTCACTATGAGTCAGGGCTGACTCCACGGCACATAACAGCAACAACAACAACATGGAACTCCTATTAAGGCAATGTTCAATATATTAACTTTCACTCCTCAAACATGTGCAATAACAGATTAAAATGATTTTATTTGCCCTTTAAGTATCATACACACAAATACTATTTCATTAGTCCATATTGTTTCATTAATCCACTCTTTGGTATGTACACAAGCAGTATGTTAAATAAGAAAAACTATGAAAATGTATACCCACTAAACCCAATGTCATGGAGTCAATTCCAACACACAGTCATCGTTTAAGACAGAGTAGAACTGTCCCACAGGTTTCCAAGCCTTTATCTTTGAGGAAGCAGACTGCCTCATCTTTCTCCTGTGGAGCAGCTGGTGTGTTAAAACTGCCCCACCTTTTGATTAGCAACTGAATGCTTCAACCACTGTGCCACCATACTTTAAAAATATGTGATATTTCAAAGTATGTTACAGAATAAGCTTTAAAACCTTTAAGTATTTTTTAAAAAGTGAAATGATTTTAAAAATGATTTGAAAAATATACAGATGGAGATAAATCTAAAATATTAAATTGCCTACAGCCTCTGGAATTTGAATATTGTTTAAAGATCAGGATTGCTTAGACTATAACCTACTCATAATCAGGTGGCCAAAGATGACTTCACCTGGAGAACTATGTTCCAAGTCTTGGATGAAATCATAACTCTTGCAACACCCACACAAATCCATGTCTTACTTTATTCCATTCAACTCTAACTATCGTCAGTATTAGTTTCCCCTAAGAGTCAAGAAAAAAAGAGACAATACTAAGTGATTCTTTTCTCTGTATGATGTGGCATAATGAGAAATAGCAATTACACTTGATTTTTAAAGGCAGCCTACAACTTATTCATATCTTGGCCTAAAGGGAATTTTTTAAGCTTTCAGAAGACGAATGGGTTCTAAAATAAAATAAAGGGGTCATAAAAGAAAGAAACGACAATTGGATGCACCAAAATAGGTCAGGAACATGAGAGAGATAGGTGTCACGAAACTTCCTGTAGAACATTAGTATACCGAGAAAGCCCAATAAAAATCCTAACATGACAAAGCTACAACTCCCCACTCACGGGGTGACAGGCAGACTGAATCCGAAACACGGCCTTCTCCGCGGCAGGACTCCGGCCCAGGCCCGCCCGCCACGCCCTGTGCTCCGAGGCTGCAAACCAGCCGGCCGAGTGGCGGCCCTCCGAATTGTTTTCTTCTTGGTGCAACAGTAGGGGAAGCGATCCCGAGAACTAGGTCCTGGCGGAGGCCACGAACCTGACAGAAAAGGAGAGGCGCCGGGAGTAGCAGCTGCAGGAGTGCGCCGCGGAAAAGCCGAACAGGGCGCAAGAGAAGCCGCCCGGGCCGGGCCTGCAGCCCGGCCACCGCCGTTTACCGTTCCCATCGCGGCCCAGCAGACACCGGCCAAGGAGGAAGAGCAACCCCACCGCCCTCGTCAGGGCCCCCAGACTGGCCGTAGCCCCCGGACCCTCCTTACCTGGACTTCCCCACCCCACTCTCGCCGATGATGAGGATCTTAAGCGTGGTCAGCACGTCTTCGTCCATCCTGCCCGTGCTCCGCTCTGACCCAGCTGGCCGCTCCGATCCGCCTTTCAACCCTTCACCAGCGACAGCTGTCCGCGCATGCGCACTGCACCGCGCCGCGGCTGCCACCTTCCTTTCATACTTGGTGTTTAGGTTTCCGAAGCCCCAGAAGCTCCAGTTCCGCCTTGAGATAGCTCTGCGTCTGCGCAAACCCAAAGTCCCAGGCGTGTTTCCGCACAGCGAGTTGCTCTCCTGCGCAAGCGCAGATGGGGAGAGTCGTTTTATGATTATCAACTTATTAACACGATCCTAGCTTTCTCCTACCTAGCCCCACTCTGACCTTCCTTCCGTTGTGTAATCCGGAAAGGACTGAGTCAAAGGGACTATAAAGTTCATTTATTTCTTCAGCTGTTCATAACAGCTGCATTGTGGTGGGGGAAAGCATTCTCCTTGAAGCCAGACTTTAAATTTAGGTCCTGCCTTGGTCTGTCTTCATTACCTAGCCTACTCAGCCTGTTTCCTCATTTTACAGAGGGAGGCAATAATGCGTCTTAGAATAATATCTATGTCTTAGAGTTTTTATGAAGTTTAAGTGAATTAATTTGTGAAGATTTTGTCAAAGTTCCTCTCTTGTGGATCACAAGCATCCTTCACATAGAAATTGATCTTAAAAGAGAGATACAGACTTCAGATAGCTCCACCACCAGTTGCCATAGATAATGACTCATGTTCACCATACATGTGTCAGTGTAGGACTTGGCTCCATAGGGTTTTCAATGGCTGTGATCTTCCAGAAGCAGATTGCCAGGCCTTTCTTCCAAGGTGCCTTTCTTTTGAACTGTATTAATGTTTGCACCAGATCAAGTGCATACAAGCCTCTGGTAGTGTAATTTAAACCAACCTTTCTGCTCCTAAGAACTGCTACATCAAAATAGAAGGAATTGTATTTATGTACCTTGCTTCTTTCCCTAAATTATAAATCTTAAAAGGTGTTGGTGCAGTTGGTTGACAGTCCAGTTGGTTCTGATTCATAGGGACCCATGTGCAACAGAATGAAACATTTCCTGGTCCTGAGCCATACTCATAATTTTTGCCATGCTTGAGCCCATTGTTACAGCCACTGTGTCAATCCATCTCATTGAAGGTCTTCCTCTTTTTTGCTGACTCTATACCACACGTGATATCCTTCTCCAGGGATTGATCCCTTCTGACAACATGACCAAAGTACAAAAGACAAAGTCTGGCTATTCTCACTTTTAAGGAGCATTCCGTCTGTACTTCCTCTAAGACAGACTTGTCCTTTCTTCTGTCAGTCCATGGTACATTAAATATTCTTTTGCCAACAGCACAGTTCAATGCATTGATTCTTCTGTGGTCTACTTTATTCATTGTCCAGTTCTCACATGCATATGAGGCAAATGAAAATACCATGGCCTGGGTCAGGCACACTTAGTCTTTAAAGTGACACCTTTCTCTTTAGTACTTGAAAGAAGTCGTTTGCAGCAGGTTTGCCCAATGCAATATGTTATTTGATTTCTTGGCTGTTGCTTCAATGGCTATTGATTGTGGATCCGAGTAAAATCAAATCCTTAACAAGGTCAATCTTTTCTCCATTTGTGATGTTGCTTATTGGTCAAGTTGTGAGGATTTTTGTTTTCTTTATGTTGAGTTGTAATCCATGCAGAAGTCTTTGATCTTCATCAACAAGTAGTTCAAGTCTTCTTCACTCCCAGCATGCACATCACAGATGGTTAATGAGTCTTCCTCCAATTCTGATGTCACGTTCTTCTTCATATAGTCCAGGTTCTCAGATTATTTGCTCCACATATAGATTGAATAAATACGGTGACAGAATACAACCCTGGTGCACACCTTTCCTGATTTTAAACTGTAAGAAACCAAACCAAACTCACCACCATCAAGTCAATTCCGATTCACAGTGACCTTCATTGAGTTTCCAAGGCTGTAAATCTTTATGGAAGCATACTGCCTCATTTTTCTTTCATGGAGCAGCTGGTGGGTTCAAATCATCGACCTTTTGATTAGCAGCCAAGTGCCTTCACCATTACACCACTGGAGCTCCTTTTAAACCATGCAGAAGTATCCCCTTATTCTTTTTGAATGAATGCTTTTTGGTCTATGTAGGGGTTCTTCATGAGCACAATTAAGTGTTCTGGAATTACCATTCTTTGCAGTGTTATCCATAATTTGTTATAATCCACACAGTTGAATGTCTTTGCAAAGTCAATAAAACACAAATAAATATCCTTCTGGTTTTCTTTGCTTTTTGCCAAGGATCTGACTTCAGCAATGATATCCCTCATTCTGTGTCCTCATTTGAATCTGGCTTGAATTTCTGCCAGTTGCTGTCAGTGTACTGCTGCAACCATTTTTTAAATTATCTTCAGCAAAATTTTACTTGCATGTGATATCAGTAATATTGTTTGATAATTCCACATTCTGTTCAATCATCCTTTTTTGGAATGGGCACAAATATGGATCTCTTCCAGTCAGTTGGCCTGGTAGCTGTCTTCCAAATTTCTTGTCATAAGTGAGTGAATGGTTCCAATGCTGCATCTCTGTGTTGAAATATCTCAATAGGTTCCATCAATTCCCGAAGCCTTGCTTTTCACTTGGACTTCTTCCTTCAATACCATCACTTCTTGATCCCACACTACCTCTCAAAATGGTCAATGTTAACTAATTGTTTTTGGTACAGTGGTTCTGTACATCCTTCTGTGGTAGTTAAGCATGTGTGTCAACTTGGCTGGGCCTAGTTTTGAGTGGCTAGGAAATTGGATGTAGTTATTTCCCATGATGAGACTGGTAATCAACTCCATGGTAGAATCTACTGGAGCAACTTAGTAGCTGCCTTAGGGATGTGGTCTGCTTCCAGTATATAAGAAGAAGCTTTGAGAAAGGTCACTGAGGTTTTTGGCATGCTTGCACCCTGCACGTAGCTGAGTCTTCATTCAGCAGCCTTCCATGTTGTCTGCTGATTTTAGGATTATTCCTGGACTTGAACTGGTGGCCTGCCGTGTTGTGTGATAACCTTGGAATTGTGCCATTTTACTTGTTGACCTTGGGGTTGTCAGCCTCAGTAGCCAGCAGGTGCATGAGTGCAGAGATACCTCCAGCTCCAGTGAGCTAGGAGCAAGAGGCAGAGCTGAAGCCCAAGGCCAAGGAGCTTTCACCCAGCCCCTAGAGCTGGCACTTTAAACTCAGACTTCTAGCCTCCTAAACTGTAAGAGAATAAATCCCTGTTTGTTTAAAATCACCCATTTGTGGTATTTTCAGTTACACCAGCAGCAGATAACCAAAACATCTTCCATCTTCTTTTGATGTTTCCTGTGTCATTCAATATTTTGCCCATAGAATCCTTTAGTGTTGTAACTTGAGGCTTGAAATTTTTTCCCCAGTTCTTTGCGCTTCAGAAACACCAGGCAGGTTCTTCCCTTCCAATTTTCTAACTCCAGGTCTTTGCACATTACATTATAATACTTTTCCTTCTTGAGCTGCCCCTTGAAATCATCCATTCATCACTTTTACTTCATTTCTTTAATTCATTTTAGCTGCTCTCTGTTCAAGACCAAGTTTCAGGGTCTCTTCTAACATCCATTTTAGTCTTTTCTTCCTTTACTGTCTTTTTAATGACCATTTGCTTTCTTCACACAGGATGTCCTTGATGTTGTCCCACAACTTGTCTGGTCATCAGTCATTGGGGTTTAATTCATCAAACCTATTCTTTAGATGTTCTCTAAATTCACATGGGATGTACTCCAGGTCGTATTTTGGCTCTCATGGACTTGTTTTAATTTTCTTCAGCTTCAGATTAAACTTGCATATGAGCAATTGATGGTTTCTTCCACAGTCAACTTCTGGCCTTGTTCTGACTGATGATATTGGGCTTCTCTGTCATCTCTTTCCACAGGTTTGATTCCTATGTATTTCATCTGCTGAGGTGCATTTGTATAGTTGCCATTTACGTTGTTGAAAAAAGGTATTTGTTATGAATAAGTCTTGATATTGCAAAATTCTATCATGCAATTTCCAGCATCATTTCTATCACCAAGGTCATATTTTCCCAACTACCAATTCTACTTCTTTGCTTCCAACATGTGCATTTCAATCACCAGCAATTATCAATGCCTCTTGATTGTATGCTTCATCAATTTCAGACTGCAGAAGGTGATACAAATCTTCAATTTCTTCATCTTTGGCTTTAGTGGTTGGCTCATAAATTTGAATAATAGTAGTATTAACTGTTCTTCTTTGTAGGCATATGGATATTACCTATCACTGACAGGACTGTATTCCAGGATCAATCTTGAACTATTCTTTTCGATAATGAATGTGATGTCATTCTTCTTTATTGTTCCTGGCATAGTAGTCCATATGATTGTCTGTTTCAAAATACCCAATACTAATCCATCTCAGCTCACTAATGCCTGGGATTTTGATCTTTATGCATCCCATTTCATTTTTGACAACTCCTAGATTTATACTTCATATAGTTCAACATTCTGATTATTGTTGAAGGTTTGCAGCTCTTTCTTCACATTTTGAGTCGTGCCACATCAGCAAATGAATGTCCTGAAAGCTTTGTTCCATCCATATCATTAAGGTCTACTCTACATTGAGCAAGCAGCTCTTCCCTGGTCATAATTTGAGTGTCTTCCAACCTAAGGAGCTCATTTTCCAGCACTGCATAAAACAATGTTCCCCTTCTGTTCATAAGGTTTTCAGTGGCCATGTTTTTCAGAAGTAGAACTAGCCATGTTCTTCCTAATCTTTCTTAGTCTGGAAACTCCACTGAAACTTGTCCATGAGGGGTGACCCTGCTATATTTGAAATACTGGTGGTACAGTTTCCAGCATCACAGCAACATACGAGACACCAACAGTATGACAAACTGACTGACGAGTGCTGGTTAATAAATGCAGGAACCTGTATATAAGACCTAGCAAAGTGCCTAATGCATGGCAGACACTCAATAAACGTTTGTTCTCTTATCTCCTTTTACGTGCAGCTATATAAAGCAGTAAAAGATATAGATATTTATGAGCCATGGCCCAGTG